ACAAAATAACACCTCTGTAAGCAGCAGGGCTCATTGGTTGTTCGAATTCGACTCACGATCACTTTTTAGGTTTTTGGGGAAATATCCTAACACGTACACCTTCACCAAACACATCGGAGAAGACGTGGTGCGACAGGAAGGTGGAGGGTTACCCGTTGGAATACACAGACCCTCCGTTGGTAAGCTATAAAGGGGGTATCGGAAAGTTAGGTGATTTTTTTCTAGGGATCATTGTCTTGTCTTTTATTTTTGAGATCGAGACGTCGAAGATGACTTCTTCCACTCAAGTTTTCCTCCTAAACATGATTGATTTCAAAAATTCATTTTTGTTGGTGGGTATTTTAAAAACAAAAGACAATATACACGTGACTCACAGGAAAAAGCGTTTTATTTTCATCCAAGGCGGCCTATCACACATTTCATGTGGAAGAAGCGAGCATTTTATCATTTTTTTTCTACTCTTTTAGTGTTGTCGACTTACAAAGAACCCCTGAAGGGTTGGAATAACAGCATTTACGGCCCTGCTGGTCTAATGATGGCTGGATACGTGGGCATAGTAAAAACATCACCATACGATACAGAGGTCAAAACTAACATGGTGCCAGCTGACATGGTGGTAAATTCCATCATAGCCGCAGCTTGGGACATTGGGGAAAGTTTTATCCGAGAAAAAGACACGACCCCCACCATAACTGTCTACAACTATGATCTGGATCTGGTGAGAGTTGAGACCAGTCAAATTGTCGAAAATACCTGTTTTTTTTTACCAAAATTTAGTTCAGTAAACAAAGACACGTAAAAATTAAGAAAAATTCCGTAGAACTGAATGAACTACTTTACCCCAGGTAAATGTTAGGGCTTCATTTTCACAATAGCGTCCAAAATTTGAAAAAAAAAAACAGTTTTTTCATTTAAAAAAAAACAATAATCTTAAAAAAATGTTTTAGATAACAGTTGTAGAACTTTTTATAACCAAAAATTTTGAGCCTAGCCCGATGTCAGTTGTAAACAAATGTATTAGTTATTGCAAAAAACTGCTAAAAATCGCATTTTTAAAAACTTCTTTATCTTTAAAACAAAAAAGATTTTTTTTTACGAAACTCAGAACTTTCTCCCCCCCCCATCAAGTTTACTGTAAAAAAGGTGGTCAATCATTGCGGACTATTTTTTATAATCAACTACAACATGTGTAAATTTCAGACTTTAATACACTAGGCACATAAATTTAGGGATATTAAAAAAATTTCAAAATTTTGGGTGATTTTCAAAGAACTGTAACTTGGAGGGAAATGGTCGTAGTGAGAATCAAAACAAAAGGAAATTGAAGCTTCAGGTGTCTAGTTTTCAGATCTGCAGTTTAAATTTTTGACTTTGGCAATCAATTACTCGGAAAATAATGGCCGTACAGAAAATTCGAGCAGGGTTTTGGAAATTGCTACAAGTCGTAATTATGGGATTTGATAAAAAAAAAATGTTTCAAAGTGAAAATATTGGTTAGAAAAAAGGTAAAAAATTGCATAATTAGGGATATTTGAATAACTTTGCAAATAATGAATAAACTAAGGATATCGACTGTAACTTTTCAACCTCAAAGTGTCCTAAAGAAACCCTGATAATTTCAAAATTTGCGATTTTTTTTTCCTAGTGCCCGGAATGTATAAATTTGTCATTTTGCTGAAAATCAATGTAATAAGTAATTTCTCACTTTTTATTCAATTTTTTAAGTTAAAAATGTTTTTTTTTTAGTAATAATCCATATTTTCTTCATCAAAAAACGTTCATAATTCTAAAAAACTGAATCTAAAAATTTTTTTAAAAAATTATTTTTTTCAAAACTTTTTTTAACATATCCACAAGCTTCGCAAACGTCAAAAAAATTTGGTTGATTTGACGTTGCAGGTCACAATTTAACATCGGATATTGCCGTATCTGTTCCAAAAGTGCCAAAATATTGACCTGATGAAACAATTTGGTGCGTATTCTATACGGAAATTGTAATGTGCAGTTCATTTCTCATAGTGTTCCGACGATATAATCCACTAACTTTCTGTTGTTACAAGTACCTATTTCTATCCTAAGGCTGCATGAGTTGACTTGTTGGAAACCCGCCTTGTCTCAGTGTCCAGCCGAGGTGCGCCAGCGCTTGTCATAAGCGTATAAGTGGGACAGACGTGTTATTATTCTCACATTGTAGCTATTCCAACAAGTGTTCCAACAGAGAAAGAATTGAAATTGATAATGATGATCCGCAGGAAGATCCACGACTTTCATTTTAAATACAAAATTACAACGTTAAAGAAAATTGAAACTGCCCAGAGTGCCTTCAAAAGTTTTCACTGTGTACTGTGCATAAAATCAACAATAACAGTAACAATAATAATAGCAATAACAATAACATTAACTGAAGATGAATCGAACTTGATGGAACTTGATGATAAGACGTGATAAGGGATGCTGAATGAGAATGAACGTTTTAAGAGATGCTAAATGAGAATGAATACGTAATCTGTTCTTTGAAAAAAAAAAATCGCTAAAACCAATTAGCTGTTTTGACGTCAAAAAAACGCGTCCTAATTGGCCGGGTATTGCATTTATAAAAACAGCAGTATCACAGTTAGATAGACTTTTTTACCCTTAAAAAAAAATTTGAAATCGACTGAAAAATACAAAGTTGCAGGCTTGTATTACATTTAAGCGCGACACCCTGTATACAGGGTGTCCCGCATAAAAATCGACACAGGGCAGGTGCATGCAGGGGTGTCCAAAATATTGTAATTTAACCAAACTTACCTATATGTATACAAAGCCAAAGTGAGGCCCTAAATTTCGAAAAAAAAATAATATCTCTGCAACACTATACCGCACAAGAACCTTTGGTACATGATTTAGGTTTATTACTGGTCTTCTTTGACTATGATTTAAAGTTAAATGAAGCACCACAAAGTGTTCATTGGGGATGACTTACCCCTAAAATTGTACCGAACTTTTTTCTCATTGACTGAATTGAAAAGTAATAATATTAATTCACGGCAGAATTTAATTTTAATTTTTTTTTATGGTTTTCAAGAAAAACCGTATTAACTGAACCAAGATTTTAACAGTGTTTATTAGAAAATAATCGAAAAGTCAGTAGTAGGCAATGAATTTATCTTTCAAACTTGTCAATTAGTAATAAAATTATTTTATTTCAACAACTGCCCTTGATTGTTGTTAAAAAAATGTCAATTATTATTTTTATTATTTATTTGTGTTTTTTACTTAATACAATATTCGCTTATTTAAAAACTACCTAGGTACTTGTTTTCTTTTTGTAGAATTAGGAGAGAAGTGAAGTAATATTTTTGTGTCAGTTAATACGGTTTTTCTTGAAAACCATAAAGTTTTTTAAAAATGAATTAGAGTAAAAAAAATTTAAATTAAATTCTGCTGTGAATAAATATTACTATTTTTCAATTCGGTCAATGAAAGAAAAATTCGGTACAATTTTAGGGGTGAGTCATCCTCAATGAACACTTTGTAGTGCTTCAATTAACTTTAAATCGTAGTCAAAGAAGACCAGTAATAAACCTAAATCATGTACCAAATTTGGTTCTTCTGCAGTAAAGCTTTGCAGAGACATAAATTTTTTTCGAAACTTAGGGCTCCACTTTGGGGACTAATAACTCAGGGGTGCAACTTTGTATATCGGTAAGTTTGGTTAAATTACAATATTTTGAAGACCCCCACATGCACCTGTCCTGTGTCGGTTCTTATGCGGGACACCCTGTATATGTATGGGCAATATAAAATTACTTTTACGAGTTCCACGTCGTTACAGGATTTTATTTTTACTCTGTCGTCTCTTTAGGACGTAACATGGGGCAACTACTTGTATACGTGCAAGAAGTACGCTTTAAAGTATTTCAGCGTCAAGACCATGTGGTACTTAGATGGGTTGCTCTTTAAGTCATTTTTCGTCTACAGTGTTATGCACTTTTTCCTACACACCATCCCTGGCGTCATCATCGATGCTGTTCTGGTCTACAGAAAGAAACCTCCGATGTAAGTGCTTCGCAATAGCTCGGAAATCTGGTGTACCCCGAGGGTCAAACCTTGAGCCTCTTCTTTTTATTATATTTATTAATGCTCTATTTCTAACGCTTAATGAATTTTCTCAATTGTGCTAAAAATTCAACATCTTCCGTCTTCGTGTGTTATTATTTTTCGTTTTTCCTTGCAGGATGCGAAGTATATATCGGAAACTTTACAAAACTGAGAAGATGCTGGCTTATTTCAAAATGAACGAGTGGACTTTCGAAACTGGAAATCTGAGAGGACTTATAGGCAGGATGTCCGACGAGGACAAGAAGATCTTCTACTGCGACGTCAAGGATTTCGACTGGGAGGAATCTTTGGAATACTACACCCTGGGGTTGAGGATATACTTGATGAAGGACCCCTTAGAGACGCTCCCAGCAGGACAGAAGCTTCGAGTAAGGTAANCTAGGTACTTGTTTTCTTTTTGTAGAATTAGGAGAGAAGTGAAGTAATATTTTTGTGTCAGTTAATACGGTTTTTCTTGAAAACCAGTTTTTTAAAATTTAATTAGAATAAAAAAAAAAATTAAATTATATTCTGCTGTGAATTAATATTACTATTTTTCAATTCGGTCAATGAAAAAAAAGTTCGGTACAATTTTAGGGGGTGAGTCATCCCCAATGACACCTTGTAGTGCTTCAATTAACTTTAAATCATAGTCAAAGAAGACCAGTAACAAACCTAAATCATTTACCAAATTTGGTTCTTCTGCGGTAAAGTGTTGCAGAGATATAAATTTTTTTCGAAACTTAGGGCCCCACTTTGGGGCAACTTTGTATATAGGTAAGTTTGGTTAAATTACAACATTTTAAAGTCCCCTACATGCACCTGTCCTGTGTCGGTTCTTATGCGGGACACCCTATATACAGTGTGGATACAAATTGTGGAATATTGCTTATATTTCTTAAAATATTCGTCATATCAAAAACATGTTTTAATAAAAGTGTTAGGGGAAATTATTTCCCGTTTAGTGATATCAAGCAATCCTTCGTAGTAAAAAAAATGTGGTTGCCAAGGTAACCGACTTAATTTTTTTAAATGACACCATATATATTTTTTTTTTTTGGTGAAAATTTTCTAACTACGATGTACAATTTTAATGGGGTCACATAAGAAAAAAATACAGTAAATCAATTTTTATAATTTTATTTTATGTCCTACAGTAAGGAGTCAAAAAATCAAATGATCAACGTTTTAAGCTAATTTTAATAGGATAAATGAAAAAAATTGAACGGATGTGAGCTAATTCATTAAATGTTCAAAATGACGGCCATTATTGTTCAGGCACATTCTTAGTCTCTTTAAAAACGAATCACTCAAGTTTGCCAACGTATGGTGTCGAATTTGCCGTAGCTCGATTCTGATCCTCGCTTTAAGAACTTTCAGATCTACTGGTCTTTCTTTGTAGACTATACTTTTTAACTAACCCCACAAAAAATAATCACACGTATTGAAATCGGGTGAACTTGTTGGCCATTTAATGGCACCTCCGCAACCTATCCACCTTGCAGGAAACATTTCAATTTGATATTCTCTTATGGCCCTTCCATAATGTGGAGGGGCTCCATCTTGTTGAAACCACATTTGATGAATTGGACCTAGGGCCTCCAAAGCACGTACAATTTGTTCTCTCAACAAATTAAGATATTTGTCGGCAGCTAGGTTCCCATCAATAAAAAATGGTCCAATAATATTTATTTTTTTATATCCTAGTATATCTGTCCGGACATTAATTTTTTCTTGTCGCTGGGTTCGAGTTTCTCGTATCCAGTGAGGATTTTCTTAACATCAATGTCGACAATTTTGTTTATTATAAAATCCATGAAGCATAAAAGTGGCTTCATCGGTGAACATAATCTTTTTGCCAAATTCCAAATCCATGTTAAATTTATCTAACATAGTGTTACAAAATTCAACACGTTTTGCAAAATCATTTTGCACAAGTTCTTGAACGAGCTGCATCTTGTATGGATGAAACTTTTCCTTGTGGAGCTGTTTCAATACAGAACAATGTGAAATGGCTTGCACCCTCCCTACCAACTTCCCGACTGGACAAATGTGGGTTCTCTTGTATTGACAGAAGCACATTTAAAGTAGTATCGTCATCAGTAGCTGTTTTTGGCCGCCCTATTTGTAGTTTGTTAAATTTTTTTAGCAATTTGGAAATACAAGATTGTGTTATTTGAGGTCTGTTTGGATGAAGTTCGTTAAACAACTCACATACTTCCCGCTGTGTTATTTTCCTGTCACCATATCCCCACCATCATTAAAACCTGTATTCTTTCCGTTTCATTTAATTCAAGCGCCACTTACTAAGTACTTAAGTACACAGAAAATTGAGTAAAAAAGTACGTTTACTGCAACAATGCACACAATTACAAGCAATTGACAGCTAGTGACAGTTTCGCATTGTTCTGATTTTGGCATGACTAACTTGATGTTAATAATTATTTTGATAAACAGTGTCAAATGCATAATAGAAAACTTATTTTTTTTGTATTTTTTTCTTATGTGACCCGATTAAAATTGTATTGTATCGTACCGTTTAAAAAAATTAAGTCAGTTACCTTAGCAACCACATTTTTTGTGCTACGAAAGATTGCTTGATATCGCTAAACGGAAAATAATTTCCCCTGAAACTTTTATTAAAACATGTTTTTGATATAACGAATATTTTAAGAAATATAAGCAATATTCCACAATTTGTATCCACACTGTATAAAATGTAAACTATCTTTTGAGAGAAATAGATTTATTTTTNCCACTTATAGGTTTAATAATTAAAGATAGAAAGAAACTTTAAATACAAATGTACGACTTTTCCTTTATTTCATTTGACATCAAAATTTGCTGGCATAAAATATATATGTTTAAAATAAAAAAAATCATAAAAAAAATTAAAATTCATCCTTATGAAAATAACAAACAACGATTTTTATAACTAACCTTTACAACAACATAAGGAGAATATCTAAAAACGAAATAACATTAATATACCTACAATTTTTACAAATCAACATGCAAGTGATTGTGATGATACAGTTGAAAGTATGTTTCAATTTACTATTAATTGCTTCAAAAACAAATTCGAAATTATCACGCATTTCGTCCTGTATTTTTCTTTCAATACTTGTAAATTTTCAGGTCTTTAAAAAATATATGTCTAAAAGGACTGACAATGAAATAGGGGCTGTTTTCTGACCACTTAAGGTTTCTAATAATATTTTTTAGTGTTCGTTGACGGGATTCTTCCTCCAAAGTAAATTTGCCAATATTCCTGAAGAACTTTTGCACATTATTGTTATTTGAATAATACAGTTAATTTATGTTTTATTTTTCGTCATCAGAATAACCCATTGTAAATTTTTTAATTTTTTAAATTAAAATGGGTTGTTCTAATAATGATAAATCCCATGTATTTTTAAAAGTAGGTTCGTTTCTGTCGTTTTTGTCTGATTGTGTGCGAGAGAGATAGAGTTTTCTCTAGAGATAGAGTCTCTCTCTCTGCTGCCCTCAGGAGCCAGCAATTTCAGGACACCTAGGGATGGAGCCTGGGGTAGAGCGCGTGGCCTTTTTAGCCTTCGTTATCGATCTATGATGTCACACAGTATAAGAAAAAAAAACGCTTTTTGCTCGTAACTCGGAAATGGCTGGAAAAATAAACAAATTTCCCCTTGGTTCTGAGTAGAGCACTCGGTGGTTGACGCAGAGCGGGGTGTCACAATACATGAAAGAAAAAAAAACAGTATTTGCTTAGACTCTTAAGTATCAAAAAAGCTCCCATGGTGAACAAATAAATCTCCCATGGTGAACTAGTGAAAAACGTCAAAACCCGCATGTCAAAAAAATTAAAATCGGGAGCAATGGTGTGTGACATCATAGGATAAAAAAGTGTTTATAACTCGTTGAATCGAAAAAATAATTGAAAAATGTCAACCTCTCCCTCCCGGGTTCTGTATGTTCCTTCTGCGTTGAATGCAAAAGGTCCAATGTCCGTATGTCGAAAATAAATTTTGGAAACAAGAGGTATGTCGTGTTATAGTAAAAAGGCCGTATAACTCGGAAACGGTGTGTTAAATCGAAAAAATAATTGAAATTCTCCCCACACTCCTGGTTCTGTTTGTCCATTCTGCGTTGAATGGAAAAGGTCTGAAGTCCGTATGTCGAAAAACAAAAAAGTTAGTCAAAAATTGCAATAGCAGTAGCGAACGCATTATCTTATCTGTATTGATTGATGTGTTGTTTTTTTAAATAAATTTCGTATTCAACAACTACTACTTGAGGTTCCAGCAATTTTACATTGTGTTAATTTTTTTGAACACCTTGTGTCACAAATATGCCAATGGCATCCATGGCACACTTGTGTCAATAATTATTTTACCTATCTAAAGAAATCAACAATAAGAGGCAGTACCCATCTAAGGATACACAACCTGTACAATGCAATTTTTTTTAAACATAGGTGTTAATATCGTACCATATTGGAAGTCGACGCACAAATCTAAAAACATTAATTTCGAGTTTTTGAATTTTCCCATTCCAAGGTGATATAAAATAAATAATTAATTAGGTAAATTCATAATTTTAATTCGAACTTGATTTATATTATTTAACATTTAAGGCAAATGCGATTTCCAAACACAAGATAAGTTCCTTATCTCTTTAATTACATAATTGAAAGCATTAAATTTATTTAGCAGTTATTATTTGGCAACAAAGCCACCGCTGGAACTGCCGCC